ATTCAGATCGAATAATTGACAAAAAATCATTTAATCCAACTGATTTTTTTTGTGCTATACGTTGATTTACCCTTTTTCTACCCTTTTTTCATTATAGCCCATAAGTTCTCTATAGGATTGATATCTGGAGAATAGGACGGCCAATCAAGCATTCGCGAACATTTTTCTTGAAGAAGAATTGTTGTTAATTTGCCTTGTGCTTGGGATTGTTATCTTGTTGGAATGTCCACCTTCTTCCAAGAATCCTTATAGCACTAGTAAAAAGATTTTTAGTTAAAATATCCCGATAAAGTTCTCTATTCATATTTTCAGTAAAACAATGAAATCCCACAATTCCGCGTGCACAGAAAGCACCCATGCATGAACTTTGAGTGGATGTTTTACAACTGCACGTTGTGGTTTTTCTTCTCCAATCTTATATCTTACCAATGTTGTATTACGAAATAGTTGAAAAGTAGTTTCATCAGAAAAAATGATATTTTCCCATTTTTTATTTAGGTGAGATTTTAACCATTCAACTCTGCATTCCTTGGCAGCAACAGTCAATATTGGTATTGAAGTTGGTATGCTAACGTGATAACCTAAGTTAAAAAGATTTTCACAGATGGTTCTGGAAGCAATATTAAGGTTTGGATATGCTTGGTTAAGTGTAAAAGCAATTTCTTTGCTAGTTGCACATTTTCTTGTACTAGCTAATTTTCCAAGATGAATTTATTTTTTTGGAAACAAAAGTTTTGGCCTTCTTGGACGTGATTTTGGTTTAATAATACCAAAATTTTTAAGTTTTCGGATATAAGTGTATAATGTGAATTTTGGAATATGTGTTATTTTATGTAATTCATTAATATCATGGATTCCATTTGTCCACAAATTGTTTATAAAGGACCGTTTTTTCGTTTAAAGTTAATTTTTTCAGCATGACGAAAAAAAAGATGAATAAAAAAATTTTTTTTTGCCGATCTTATGATTATTTGTTTATTTATATTATATATCATGTGTTGATTTAAATAATTATGTAAAAAAAACAAAAATAATTATTAAAAAGGAAGTAATAAGTAATGTTGATCAAGTCACATGATATTATCATTATTTTCCGCCACTACTGTAAATATATGTTATTTGTTTTGTTATAATATTCTAATATTTTTTCTTTACATTTTTCAGCAGCTAATTTAATTAAAGGTAATGTATCTATATTATCAATAGTATCTTCTGTATGATTAATAAGAAGATTATATAAAGGAATTACAGTAGAAATTGTAGGATAAATAAATCCAAACATTATAATTGTTACTTCTTTAAATAATTTAAGAAACTTTACTATTTGTTCTAAATTATTTTAATCTTCATCTGTAAGTATATCTTTTTTAAGTTCACGATCAGATAATATAACTGGTTCTAAAGCCTAAATTATAAAATTATAAATTAAATTTAATTATAAAATTATTATAAAAA